AAAGCATATGAACCTTCAAATATGATCATATCAATGATAAGAACATCAATCGTAACAATACCGGAACGATAGAAATGAGGTGAATTCAGCAGTTTAGCTAATAGCGTTATCGCTACTGATATCTATCATAATAACTGCTGTTTCGACAAAATTACAATACAAAGCGGTATCCAACAGGATTTTATGTGGAAATTCTCTTCCACGATTCATTGAATATAACTTATCTGTACATTCATTCAATTAAACTTCTTACAATCAGTTTATCTTTATGATTACCTGCAACTAAAGTTATTCATGCTAATATCATGGACATAACAATCTGGACTGTAATTATCTTGATACGTATTCATAAGGGCGACGATAGTCTGATAATTGAAAAGTTCAGGTAACAATAGCCTCGCATGATATCTTCCAAATGCGTGACATGCGTGACGCTGGAGGTGCACTAGGCCCTGTGGATGGCACGAATCCACAATTGCACAATCTAACATGCTCGATGACCTTTGTCGAACCAGGTACGTGCACAAAAGGATAATTATGATCTTAAAAATATTGACGTTTGCTGGATTCCGTATCAAAATATACCCATTTGACTGTGCTGATGAAACTTAAGTTACCTGTGAAATATACTGACACTAGATTAAGCACTCATGATTGAAGAATTGAGAATTTATCCGTTTGTACTTCACCTTAAGTGTCCAAACGCTTAACTAATGAGGTAATCGAGCGGTGAATTGATTCTTGCCGATGAAATTAACAATAAGTGATCGCTGGTTCAGATCAGTATTTGACTCGTGCAGCTGTGATTTTCAAATTTTTTCAAATAAATCTTTTCCATTGTCAAGTTGAACTGAAATTTTCCAGACGACGTGATTTTCATCACTTCGGATGGCGTATCTGATAACTTCGATCCGGTGGTTGGGAAGTTCTGTGTTATCAAGAAAACAGAATATGACAATAAAGAAAATAACGGCATTGTTAAGCCTGTTCAAATGTACGTTATTCATTGTTATTACTGATGCTGTTGCTATTGCATTCAATATTCGTAACCCTTCAGAAATAGCAGAAACTCAAAAAAAAGATATTTACTTTCAATGAATCTTCTTTTTGATATTCGCTGAGTTCTACCTTCCTAAACAAACTTTATCTAGAGATATGTTCAGACAGAAAATGTCCACTTGTCGAGATTTCTTGATGCGATGATCACCTTTTGTTGAGCATTTGCAATCTGTTTCAGTTCAACGAGTGCAGCCAACAATGAGAATGGAAACGACTGGGAATTCAGCCGTACTCGAGCGTGTAACGCTACATTGCCGTGTGTAGATGCCGAACAACGGCATGAACTGATGTTGTTGAGGTGAGCAATCTGAACTGTGTGTGTGACCTTGACCTCGAAGAATTTGACGGAATTTTACAGACTTCATCGGAGCAATTGAGGATCCAAGAAGATCTGTTTTATCAGTAGATAGACTCGGTGGTTTAGCAGAGATCAAAAAACTGTCACTGGTTCAATGGGGTCGAGTCAGTAGCACCCCAACTGAAGTGTTGAATCGTACTCAGACTGTTGAGAGTTATCCTAACGATTCTGCCTCATTAGCAGTTCGAATAGTTCTTTAAGATCTACGAAATCTACTAAATACGATGGAATTGTTTTTTGACCAAAGAATAGCTTGACGATGGTACAAAATTCTTACATTAGTAGGCATGATTAAGAGTGATCGATTCACAGATCTGAATGCTAACATAATTCCAGGATGGGTGATATCGTTTCGAACGGTATCCTGCCTCCGTCGGCACGCTCTCGATCATCCCCGAAACATCGAATACCTGCCGGCGGAGTGGTTGTTTCGACCAGTACACTGTGTCATAATCTGATACAGTTCGCCAGACAACTTTCGATGTATGTTAAAATATTCAGCATTGTCACTTACTTTGTTATGATTTCTAATATATTGCCATCATTTCAAATACTTGTTTCTCAGCCTCATCGATATTCGACCGCAATTATAGTTACATGTCAAAAGCGATGATTCGTCAATATTTGACAGAATTTACCTAATTCCTCTCTTGTAACTGCTCCATTTTCTCACATTTCTGAATCGCATCTCAAGTGCAAGTTTGTGTTGAACTGATCGCGTTCTGCAGGGCAAAACGACGAACTTTGGAGGATCCTGAACTGTACAAGAATGAAAAGCATCTGACAAAGCATGAGCAACGTAATCGTCGACGTATGGTCAGAGCTAAACTCAGCGAAATGCCCGGAAAGCTGGATCATGCCTCAGTGGTGGCCTTTAAAGTGGGCCTATGGCCAGTTGACTCGGAATGCGCTTCCCAGGCATCCATGCGGCTAGAGAACGGTAAATTATTAGACGCTGTAGTATTTTTTCTTGTTTTTTCGGTGTGATGCGGTAAATTCATGATGAACGGATGGTCTAGCGTATACGACTATTTGATACAATTTAGCGTTGAAAAAGTTCTTTGGTATCCTTCAAAATCTTACTCTGATATTATTTCACCCCATTTTTGATGCTCATTCGAAACCAGAATCCTTCACCAAC